AGTACTAACTCTGATTTTCCACCCAGCTGTTAGCAGGATTCAGCTCACTGTACTAGAGCTCATGAGGCTATGACATATTTTACTCCAWGATCTACTGAAGAGAGAGGGTGCAGTTTGAGAATGATTCTGTCCATTAAGAAGCAGGTCCAAAAGAGGCAAGACCATCTGCACATCCTTAAAAAATAGCTATGATGTATCAAAAATAAGTGTTATGTTGCATATTTCTGAGCACAAAGTCAAGCCAGACAGTGCTGATAGCTCTGTGATAGTTATTAATCAGAAAATTTTCACCAGTGAAGACACAATCCTCTTACTGATCCATTTCCTCAAGACCTAAATACAAGAGAAGTTGCAAATTGTTGGTTTGTTCAGGGGGTTGGCATTCTTTGGTTTTTTTAAGAATGCAAACAGTAAGAAAAGATGCATTCTGTTCTTCATAAGCTCAAGGAATGTCCAAAACTAGCTAGCATTCAGCACAGGATACAGGCCTTGAAGTTTGCTTTTTTTTTTTTTACAGCATTGCTAACAAGGCAAATATTCAGAACGAGGATTATAGTGGAGGAGTTCTTATATTCCAGTTTTGATAGGCCTTATTTCCCAGGCCTGAAAAAGCAGCCTTCTCAGTTTCTGGAAAATAAGGGCTTGGATTTTTAAATTTGGTGCTTAACTGGTTGCAGACAGAAGCACAACTAGACCATGTGAACCCTGTGTGAATCCTGGAGGAAAACCACAGTAACATGAACTACCTACACAATAATCGAGTAAGGAGGAGCAGACATTCTTGGACTGGCTGTAAAAGGAGGGGGAAATAGTAAAAAATATGTGATGCCAAGAACTTTTTCTCCAAGAACATTTCACTGTATGCTCACCTGTGCATTTCTATATGCCAAAGAGTGACACACAGGACACACCTGGTAGCATCAAKATTTTTGTGAGTGTGAGAAAAAGGATATGGAAATGAACACTCTACTGTTGTACCCAAAACCCTCGCAGAGCTGCCTCTACAGGAAATTCCCTCCCCACTCTCCCAGGTGGAAACTCTAATGATTGACTCCAACTTCCCAAAGAGAACAAACGCAGTTAGTCTTATTTCTAATTTTCCACAAATGTAACTATTTGGCTGTTTGGGGGGAGCCTCCCTCCTTAATGTCTTTAAACCACAGGAAAAGCAGAAAACTGACTTAATTTAGGTTCTTTCTCCACTCTCTCCCACCAAAAAAGAAAAGCCTTCAGGCTAAAAACAGAGTATCCTGATCCTTTAGCAGGCCCACACATTTTATTTACATTATTTGGAAAAAAAAGAGTAGTAATTAGTGTTCCTAAGAATACTGGAATCCCTCTTGTAGAGGAGTAAGAAGTTCTATCAGGATTTTTAGCACCTTCTTTTCTTTCCAATAATTTTGTGACAACTGCAGCATCCAAAATTTTTCTGATATAAGATATAATACTACAAAAATGTACTAATGGATAACAGTAACTCATTTTATGTTAGAGAATTTTACTATATATTAAAAGTAGCACACTTTAAGAAATAGAAGTATTTCCTTTAAATGAGCCTCAAAAGTTGTACAACATATCCTTTCATCAGTGATCTTACCTTTTTCTGAAGGACATTAATTTTTCTTTCTTTTACTTCCAGCATGTCTTTCATATCTCGAATTTCTCCAGCAAGGGTTCCTTTCTCTTCTGTGAGGTCTTGAAGTTGTTTTGTTTTCTTATTCAGAAAGGTTTCTTTTTCTTCCAGTCGTAACCGCAAGGCATCAACCTACAGTAAGCAAATCAAACATATTTAGGGTTTAATACAGATTATTAGCATATCTTTGTCTAATTCTTTTTTTTTCATACTTCAGAAATGTTTTATTTCCTATGTAATTTTCCAAATGGAACTCTTAAGAGATTCTTTTACTTGTCACACTTTTCTCCAGTGTTTATTTCAGAAGTCTCTTAACAAATGGATCTGACTATTTCTCTGTAGCAAGCACAAATCCCAGTCAAACAAAATAAGAGTTATTCCAAGGATTTTCCCGAGCAAAATGCTCTGCATACACAACTAGTGGGCTTTTTTTTCCCACAGATTCTAAAAAGAAAAAACAAAACCCAAAAGAATTCCAACAGCCCAGCATGTGCAAGCATCCCTCARTTTTCTCATTTCTTGCTGTGTATTCAAGCATGCAATTTTGTTGTTCTCTTAATGTGATTCATTAATAAAATAGTAATATTTTATAATTAAATAGGAATAAAACAGCAGATATCTCAATTCATTAAAGAAACAGAATATTCTTGGGTTTAAGCATCAGTACTGTAAGAATCACATCTGACATCTATTGGTGCCTTCAGGAGTCCTTCCACTAAACCACACTCGTGTGCATATTCTGGTCTTCTCTATTAAGCAATTTTTCCCTAGTTAATCAGAATACTGTCAAGCTGCAAAACAAACAGCAAATCTATATTCATTTATATTTTGAGTTTCGTAATGCTAAATTTATTCAAAGCAAAAGTATTTTTAATACCATTTTAAAACTTGATCTGGGACCAATTTAGATGATCTATTGGATCACAAAATACATGTTCTTCCTGCTTTTAAAATGGCTCATTGCCTCTCTATACACCGGGAAAAAAAGATTTATTTTAAGACTTTTGGGGTTTTTTTTACAATATTACAGCAATAGGATCTCCCAGTTTGTAAGCAGTGTGCAGTAAGGGATTCAGGGATTCAAAGATGACTTTTTAAATTAGAAAACAAGAAATAATAGTAGCAGCAAACTTTCAGACCTCTTTTATCAACATAAAAGAGCTGAGGAGCTGGGCAGGACCTTGCACTGGGGCACTCCAAAAGTGGCTCTCCCAGGCAGGCACTGCCAGGCTCATTCTCAAAGCTCTGAAAGAAGGGAGTTGAAGGGCATTAAACCCTGCAATAAACACAGCACTGACACCATTCCCCAGGGCTGGGATAACTCATGGCTGATGCAGCTCTGTCCTGCTTGGCTGAACCAGGCAGGGTCTGAGTCAATAATCCTTTCCTGCCCATCCGCTCCCTGCCCCAAGGGCTGAGCAGACAACAATTCTCACTCTTCTTCACAAACTTCTTCCCACACACCCTGTCAGCGTGGCTCTCTACATTCAAATCAGGAACGGGGGGGGGGGATTTTAAGCAACTAAACTTGGGAGCACAATGAGGAGAGGATGAGCAAATGGTTCTGAATGTGTGGGAAATGGGAGCAGAGCCGTGTCAACTCCAGCTTCTCAGACCCAAATCCTGCTGTAGCCTCAGATAAAGTCTTTAAACCATAACCAAAATGCAGCTTCGATTGCACTGAAAAACAGCCAAAGAATCTCAGTCCCACCAACCCCAGTTCACACAGGGACAGTGCAAGAGTTGGGAAAGAAAAAGCACAGCAGGTCCACCACAGCCTTAGGTGGCAGAAAACGATCTGCCAAATACATAGCAATCTTCTTACATGTCCTCATCTTGAGACTGATACAGCAGAAAGAACACTTGAATTCAAAAATCCACCTATACAGTGAAGTWTTTGATGCAATAAGGATATCATCCCCAAACCAGCATTGACAGCAAGGAGCCATTGTGAAAGCAGAGGCAGAGCTCTGAGCAGTGCCAGGCTGGCAGAGGGAACACACAGCTCATCCTGTGTGTGGTCTGGGGTGTGCAGATTGATTTTCTATTCACAGGAATGCAATGGGGAGSTTTAGGAGAACATCAGTTGTGTCGGTCATTTTCCCCTTCCCAAAGTGCTCTTTCTGCCTCCAGTAACCATGAACCAAGACTTTTACACTCCTCATAACAGGAAATAAAACTACCTCAGCCTGAACTGCAGGCGACCTTTCACTATCTGTTCAGCACTAAGCATGGATGACATCATTTCATGAGTCAAATAAGAACCTCCAGATGGTAGAAACCCAAAATGCTGTTAAATCAGTTCCTCATCTTGTGCATGACCAGAAGCAAACATACTACTTCATTTTTGGCCAGGGTGGATTTGCCAATTCAAGAAATTGTCTTTTCCCTGAAAACGGTGCTGTGAAAGGACATCTCCCCAAAATAGCAAAACAATGAAGTATTCTAAATGGAGCATGCCTGTACACTCTGAGGAATGTCAGCCATTTTCTTACTACTTCTTTTACATCAAAGGCATTTTAAACACAATTTGAAAGGAAATTAAAYACGGGTCATTTTACAGCAACAGATACAGATATATTTTTATATTTGTAAGGATAAGGATTTCTGGTGCACAAAACCCCTCTCTTTGGCTTTTCACTCAACACTGTCTAATTTTAAGAGTCCTTCACTTATTTTTCCCAAACTCTGGCARTATATTTACTAGTAAAACTTGGCAGTCTGAAGAACACCACCATTTTCCAGAAAAATAAAGCAAAAACAGATCCGATAGCTAACACATAAAGTATTTCAAAGACTTCTCTCCAAGTAAATTGCGTTTTAATTTTGCCTAACTTTTTCCTCAGCAACTACTCATTTCAACTATTTAATACAGCAAACTCTGTCACTTGCTCTGGAAATATACAACAGACTGTAAAAACTATAGAACTGAGTTATTCTTTAGGAAAAAAAAGAGTTCATGTAAGTGGCAAAAATTGCCAAATTCWAAGTCAAACTTTATTAATCTTCATGTCATCACCTGCCACTCATGACCAGCTTCAGCAGTGACGTCTGTTCCTCAGAGTTCCTCACTGTTAACTGTTTAACTCAAATACCACATTACATATATCACCTGTGAAAGTGGTTTAGTGCCATGGAGCTCCATGAGAAAGCAAAACATGAAGAAGCACCACTGTGCTTCCCTGTTAAGAATTATTTATTTTGCCATCTTAAATAGATACATTTAAAGCCAATGTTTGACTATTTTTTAAACTAAACCTGAAGGTCCTCTGACACACACAGGCTTCACAGGCCTGCGACACTTTCTGTGCTATTATTTCCTCTCTTAGCGTATTATGCAGCCTTTTGGGGAAAACTTCAGTTAATAAAAAAAACCCAAATTTCTATTAAAGATCTCRGTGCCTGTATTTATGCATCTGCATTTATCTGGGGAAATTTGAAGTTGTTATTATGAAAACCAATTTAAACAGAATAAAGGAGCTGTCAYTTCAATTTTCCATACAGAAGTACTGAATTATTAGTACAGAGAGAATATTCTCCTGTGGGCCTTTTTGCAAATATGAGAACTGAACTACAAGTATAGAAAGCATATCATGTGTCCCAAAGCACTCTCCAGAGCCACTAAGAAAAAAAAAATTAAAAAGCTAAAAAAAAAGTAAACAAAAAACTAAAAGAAAACAAAACCTATTCTAAAATAAGCAAGTATAATGGAAACTACCCCCTCATCATATTTGTCCCTCATTTTTTAGTCTGATATGATAAAGATTATCTTTTTCAAACAATAGCTGTAYCTGGCAAACCATAGCATAATTCCTTCATTTCTATCAAAAACATCTGATGTATGTAAAACTCAAGGCAGAAAAGGCAGAACATTTCGGAGCTGCAGACACCTGAATTCTGTACAATTAATGTCCTTTACAYTGTTCCAAATTGAAAATCTAGTGGATTAGCTAGGCTTTTTCACTTCACAGAGGAAAATCCCACTTTCAAGCATTATTTCAAACATTCTACCCCTCTACTACTCCGAGTTTATAGTTTACATTTTAATTCAGCTGATAGCTCATAGACTTTATGTTCTTTAAAGGCTAATCTMGTTTACTGCTTTATTTCTACATCAGTATTTCAGAACTGACACGAGGGGAGGTGTTTAAAGCCGGTGAGCCCAGGGAAACAGACAGTGAGCAACAGGAGGGGTTTTGCAAACAAAAACTGCCCAACTGGGYAGTGTTGGCTGTGCAGATCAGGGAAACAAATCCCTACATTTCCCAGACAGAATCCCTGCCAGAAGCTCTTTCAGTCCTTCTGCACCAGGGCAAGGGAAGCACCACTGCTGTGACACCTCAAATGCTACACCCAATCCTTGAAGAAAACACCTACAATTTGCATAAACTTCCCAGCCTCCATCCCCAACAGCCTCAGCAATCAACAGCTCTAATAATCCATCTTGATTTTTTTTTCTTACTTTTTTTTCAATGCACCAGTACAGATTATGTTGCCCTTTAAAGGAGAAAATTGGTAAACTAACTGGTCAAACTACATCAGAAAAGGTTTCAGCTGAATCAAAGATTGTAAACAAGATATTAATGGTCCCTCAGGCAATATGAAGCTTGTCCTTATACATCAAATGCCACAAGGAAGTCAGATCAGGGTACTTTATCAATGCAGCCAACTACCTAATAGCTCTTTTATTCCAAATTACATCTTTGCCTATTCCTACCACTAAAATTAGGTAGTTTAAAGCAACTAAGTCCGAAGTTCAGAATTTAATGTACAGTTTAGTTCCAGCAAATTTTGGAAAACACAAGGGAACTGTAACTCATGTGCTAATACTTACAGTTTTTGTTAATAAAACTTCCAACACTAACCTTACCTCACTGGTTTTTATGCTTACTATAAAACCATAGCTATCATAATACTTTTGAATTACTGAAAAAGGAAGTCAGTCATTCCAGAGTCAATGTTATTTAGCAACATAATGATAGTTATAAATYCAAAATACTTAAAGCCAATTTACAAAACTATCAATCTTGGAAGCTTTTAGCTTTTGAAATGTCTGTCTTCCAATAACATTCAAATTTTATTGTACTGCAATAGATTAATAGAAAGTGAATTAAAAGGCCACAGTGTTCTTT